GCTGCACCCTCTTCCCACGCACTTCCTGGCAGCTGTGCTCTCACCCTTCAGAGGTAGGTGGGGCTGCGGTTGGCCATTGAACTGTGTCTCTCTCTTCCTTCACACTAGTTAGTGGAACTTTCTCCCAGATTTTAGTAATATGTTACTGTCTGAAGTAGGCTTTGCTTTCTGTCTTTTCTTGTGTGTGTCTTTCTAGGTGTTTTAAATGGGATTTAAAAATTCATGTCAGGTCGCCTGGTGCCCCCTTAAGCTAGATTTTTTTTTTTTTTCATCCTATCTTTCATTTATTTTTTAAAAAATATTAAGGAGCTTTCTAGGTGAGTCAGTGGTAAAGAATCTGCCTGCCAGTGCAGGAGACGCAGGTTCAATCCCTGGGTCAAGAAGATCCCTTGGAGTAGGAAATGGCAACGCACTCCGTATCCTTGCCTGGAAAACTCCATGGACAGAGGAGCCTGGCAGGCTGTAGTCCCTGGTGTCACAGAGTCAGAAACAGCTGAGTGACTGAGCACAGTCCTTTTTATCGGCACCAGGATCTCTTCCAGGTAGTCATTGTTTCCCTGGAATCACTAACAGGAACTTCAGTCTGTTATCAACATTGGGCAGCCTTTTATCAACATACCTAACTCACCTTAACCCAGGGGGAAGGTTGCCTCCTGCCAGGTGCGTTCCTCATGATTATCCTGAGTTCAGAATAGAAAGTTTTCTTCTAGAAGCACTTGGTTATTCTAAGACTACAGAGCCAAAACTGGTTAGAAAGCTTAACTTTTAAAATGCTTACCTTCTTAGTCTTTTAATTCAGGGAAGGGGTTTAAACAACAGAAATGTGTGCTGTCAGAGCTCTGGAGGCTGGGGGACCGAGACCCAGGTGTCGGTGGGTGGTTTCTTCTGAGGCCTGTTGCCTGGCTTGCAGGTGGTCTCCCTCTTGCTGCCTCTTCACACGACTTTCTTTGCGCACCCGCATCCCTGGTGTGTCTTCCTCTTCTTATGAGGACATTAGTCATAATGGGCTAGAACTCCACCTTCCTGGTCTCATTTTAACATGATCACCTTTTTTTTTCTTTCTCATTTTTATTGCGGTATAATTGACAAATAAAATTGTCAGATGTTTAAAATACACAACTGTGATGATCTAATATATATAATGTAAACACTGTGAATGGATACCCTCTAAGAAATCCATCACTTAACTTTCAATTATTTTTGGTGAGAATATTTATTGTCTTTTAATTAAAAAAATCTTTTAATCACATTTATTTGCATGCTGCTGTATTTTTGGTTTTTGTTTTTAGCTTCTTTTGTCTGCCTTATCTCAAATATACTACATTTCATTCTTTTAAAGTTTAGCCCCTATTTCCTTTTTTGCTAGTCCTACTTCTTTTATTTTTTGCCTATTTTTGGTCTTTTTTGGTCTAGTCCTTTCTTGTTCCTTCACTTTATTTCTTACTGCCTTAATTTTTTCATGTCTGTTTTCTTAAGTCAGATTTCCCCTCCTCTGGCCTCTCTTCCCCCCATGGTTTGATTTTCTGAAGGCTGTAAGGATGTGTGGCCCTCTGAGAGTGGCAGTATTGTAGGCCGTGTCATTCAGCAGATGGGGAGACCTGCCTCTCCTCCGTCCAGTGTTTTCTGAATCAGTGTTCTGTCTTGACCCCTGAAATGATGACTTGGGGGTATAGTGACACGTGAACTTTAGAGTGACTTTTGGACAGCACATACCACCTGTGTGAGAATCTGACTGTTCTGAAATGTATGATCTGTAACGTGTGTTTGGTCACTCGGTGGAAAGACCGTGGCCTGCAGGGTTAGACAGACGGACGTCATGGCTCTTCTGTGGAAGAGCTACATGACCCTGAGCTGTCCTCGGGGTTCTGATGTGCAGAGGTTGATATTGCACCGTGGGACGGCTTCCCTCCTTCCGGCCCAGGTTTCTCCTGTGGCTCAAACCCTCAGGGGTTCTTCTGTCCACCCCTCTGGTGAGGCTTCTGCAGACCTCCTTCATCTGCAGGGGCTTGAGGGGAGCAGCCAGGAGGTAGTCTCCAACCTTGTGCCAGCTCTCACAGCTGTCTAACAGATCGCCTTTTGATTCTAGAAAGGCGGTCAGCACTTTGAAACGACTGGGGCCCAAGTCACCCTTTGTGTGTCAGAGCAGAGCTGTTAGGACTGCTTTCCGGAGACATCTTGCCTGTACTTTGTTACACCTTCCTGTGGCTAACCATCCCTTAGTTTTCAAAATGAGTTGCAACCCTTTCCTCTTGGTTAATTGTAAAGCAAAAAAAAAAAAATTCTTCTTGGTTATGTAGTAGGCTAATTGAGGGCTTCCTGGTGGCTTGGTGATAAAGAATTCACCTGCCAATGCAGGAGATGTGGGTTTGATCCCTGTATTGAGAAGATCCCCTAGAGAAGGAAATGGCAACCCACTCTAGTATTCTTGCCTAGAGAATTCCCAAGGACAGAGGAGCCTGACTGGCTACAGTCCTGCGGTTGCAAAGAGTCAGACATAACTTAGTGACTAACCAATAACGAGTAGTTGAATTTGAGTTTCTCGGGAGATTTTCACTTCGTTAAAAAATCTTCACTTCTTATCAAACACTTAGATATAAAATGTCACCTTCCTGGAGGTAGCCTAAAGTCTGTCTCTAGTTTTACAGAACCTTTTTGAATTTTTTTGTGAGATTAGGGGCTGCTGAATACTTTATTCAAAAGTTAGCCAATGGGGCAGGGAAACTGAAGCTGGGTAAAAAGGAGCAGAGACTGAGCCCCCCCCTTTCTCCCATCCCAATCCCTTCTTCTCGCTTGGACACACTCAGTGGCTCCCTGGAGACCAGGTGGATCATGACTGCCTTAGTGCTCCACGGAGTCAGAGTAGCCCAGTAGAGCTCCCGACTAAGTCCTCACTATTTGGGTCACTTGTGAGATTCCATTTATGCTTTTTTTTCTTGGACTGTGATTGTGGTTTTGATTATGATATTTTATAAAAAGATCTAGGGGTGCTGTTTGTAACACCACCCACTTGAGAGATTGCCTTTCTGAACACATGTGGGAGAGATAGCATGTATGGTATTAGGAGGGTGGTGTTCCTCCATGGATGCTCTGGACCTTGTAGCTACTTAGGCTCCCTTTTCTATTGAGCACATAGGAAGCTCAGTGTCAAGACTGTGGCCACCTTGAGGGAACGGCTAGTGCATGACAGTGTGTAGTTTGGGGTACTAACTTTACCCCAGCCTTTTCTTCTTAAAATTGTTTTCCATTTGTCTTCATTTCCTTATCCATCTGTTTACTTCTCTTCTGACATGTAATATCCTTATTAGCCCCATCATTCTTTTTAGAAGAAGTTGGTGTATTAATTAGCAAATACATAAGAACTGTCCTAAATATTTTAAGAAACCATCCTCTTGATGGATTCTTAACCACTCCGGTCTGAGCTGTAGGCTGGGCTGTTGAAGAAGTCACCTGGCTGCTCGTGCCCTATCCCATCCATCTCCTTCCTGCAGAGTCGACCCGGCCGCGCAGGGTAGACGCACGCCTCTCTGAGCAAATGCCTCCATTTCTAGACCCTCTAGACCTTTCCCATGGTTCCCCTTCTGCACTTCTGCAGCTCTGGTTCTGCCACTCTGCCCCCCGCCACCCCCCGGCCTTGTCATTTCTGTGAATCTGAAGCCCTCTTCCCACCCCTTCATCTCTGTCTGCTCTGAGTCAGTTTCCTCTGTGAAAGCAGGGCGGACCACTTCCTGGGTGCTGCTGCTGCTCCTGCTGCATGTGTTGGGTCACGCTGACTGGGCTGCTCACCCACAGGGGCCTTTGTGCAGATTAGAACAAGGTACTGCGTAGGACTTCCTACTACTGGAAACCCATCTGATGGATGAATGAGTCCAGGCTGTTTACCCTGTGAGGGGCGCCCTGAGTGTGGGGGTGGGGGGTGCCTGCCTGTGCAGTTGTGCTCAGTGGCCCCGTGTTGTAACTGGTGGGAACTGTCCATATCCCCAGCACCGTCAGTCTGGCCAGGGCAGGCCCTCAACAGCTATTTGCTAAGCTAAAGGAAGAACAAACGTGTGAATTCACACCATGCTCTTGTCTGAAAAATAGCAGGGAAAGCACACTTGACAAGGCTTTTGCACTGAATGTTATGAATATATTATAATGCTGAGATGTATTCCACCTCCCCCCCCACCAATCTCAGTATTTCTGAAATGACAGACACCTTAGTCAGTGGACTGTGGTAGGTGAGGACACAGCCCCTGGAGCTGGACTGCTTGGGCCTGAATCCCAGGGCTACTTACACACTTATTTGTGAGATTCTGGGCATTTTACTTAACCTTTTTGTGCCTCGGTTTTAACAGTAGTTTATTCCTCTACTTCCTGGGGTTGTAGTGAGAGTGCAATGGATTAATATATGTGCAGTGCTTAGAATATCACCAGGCACATAATAAATAGTAAGAGATATGAGTAATAGCTGTTAGCAGTACCATTAAAGGCTACATAGACACTTACTATGTTGCTGTTTCCTTTTAACCCTGAAAAGGTGTCTTAATCCATGGAGCCCAGCTCACATGGATAAGCATCCTGTGTCAGCAGCTGCGGACTGGCCCCATTCTGTGTGCTGAGGTGGAACACCCTCTCTTGCCTGCACCAGTTTTCTGCTTTGCTGCAAGAGAACATGCACAGTACACTGACAGGAAACCAGCAGGCTTTGTTTGTTCTTCTTAATATAGCAAAAGAGAAAGAGGGGAAAACCAGATAAGGCTCATTTTAGAACGTAACTTCTCCAAAGCTTAGATTGGTAATCTTAGCTGTGTAAAACTATCAACCAAAGAAAATTATATTTGAGAAAGTGATTATTTATCCATTAATTCATTCACTGCACTAAGCAGCGTGTTGGATTTTAGTTCCCTGACCAGGGATTGAACTCAGGCTCTTGGCAGTGAGAGCCTGGAGTCTTACCCTGTGGACCACTGGGCAATTCCCTGAAAAAGTTCTTCTAATGTAAAGTTTTTGTCTGATTGCAGGGCAACCTTCCTTAGATGGTTTTCAAGGAAACTGGGCTACGAAGTGGCAAAGGTAATGACTGTTCTGGGGTCTAGCTCCCCATCTGATGCCTCCTGGTGTCCTCAAGTTAGACAGTAGATGGATGTCTCTCCCCAAATAGTCGTGGATTCCCCTGGTCGTCACTGTTCACTTGTGGCTGGCTGCAAGACCATGTCAGGGATGCAGTGGCTCTTCTCTGAATTGCTTAGGACTTTTCCTCCTATCTCATGCTCGCTTGAGAAACAACAGCCGTGTAGGAAGCTGTGCATGACTCCTGCTCACCGCCACACCCTGTTGAACTCTCCTTCACGTTAAGCAAGATCTGACTAATGCATTCTTTGGAGATGCTCTGCCTGTTTTCATCATGAGACTGAATGGTTTTTTCCCAGATCACACTACTGTAATTGAGTTTACCCTCCACTTTGAGAAATATCCTTACCTACCAGAGAGCACTGCAGAGACTCCCACGGCATTGGAGTACACTGATTTGGAGTTTTGGTACCTTTTCCTTAGTTGAACAGTATATGAGTAAACAATTTAGTGAAGTCTCTCAGTCATGTCTGACTCTTTGAGACCCCATAGACTGTAGTCTACCAGGTCTCTCTGTCCATGGGATTTTCCAAGCAATAGTACTGGAGTGGGTTGCCATTTCCTTCTCCAAGGGATCTTCCCGACCCAGGGATCGAACCTGGGTGTCCTGCATTGTAGACAGACGCTTTACCGTCTGAGCCACCAGGGAAGAATCCAAACAATATAGGGATGATCAGAAACTTCATCTTTTTAAATTCGATTTATCTAAACCCTGAGCTTGATATTTCTGTGTAGAACTGGTCAGCTTTAGCCCGTCAGAGGGTGTGTTTAATGATCAGTTCCCAGAAAGAGTATCTACATGAGGAACTTTCTCTAACAGGCCTTCTTCTGAACCTTCAGGATTCATTTACCTTCAGGTTGCAGAAATGATAGGCAGGCAGCTGTTCTTACTCTCCATCCCCTAGAAGATGGAGGAGCAGACAGCGGGAATGTGTTCATCTTGACTCAAGTTGGTTAGCAGAGACTCTCGCTGATCTGAGTCCAGTACAATGGGTTTGGTGCACTGAACTTGCTGAGTTGGCTCCTCTCCATGTCTTCATTCAGCCTGAAAGTCATGGCCAGTTTCCTTATCCAGGGGGTGGGGCATTTCTCAGAATATGAAAGAAAGCAGCCAGTGACTGCTCTGGCCCGCTTGTAGGCTTACAAGACCAGCTATTGCCACAAAGGGAGAAGCTTCCTGTTTACCAGCCGGCATGAGACAAAGTGGTGGTGCTTCCTGGCTGTGTGGGACTTGGCACGCGGGCCACATTCTGTCCATCAGGATGGCAGGGCTGAATGCCTGCTCTGTGCTCAGCCCTTGCCCCTGTAGCCCCGGTCCTGGATGCAGGCCACCCTCCGGAGGGCACTTTTGCTTGGGCTCCAGAACTGGCCCTGGCCTTCTGAAAGGGGAGGCGGCCTTGCCTCCTTGCTGGCTTCCTCCTTAGCTTTCCCTTCCCCATGGGGCCCAGTCCAGGCAGAGCCCTTGGCATGAACCTGAATCTCACCATAAATTCACATCTTTTGTTCCTAAGTCTCTAGGAAGCAGGATGCCAATGCCTCTGGGGAAACAGGTCTTTTTCGCCGGAGTGGCAGCTAGTGGGAGCTGCGCCATTGTGTACTACCTGGTCCAGAGTAAGTATCCGATGAAGCGCCCAGCCGCATCCTGGTTCTCTTGGCCCCTTCCTCCATTGAAGGAAATACTTCAGATGCTTTCAGCAGATTAGAGAAAGAAGGAAAGGGCTATTCTGAGCAGCCAGTACACCACTCCATTGGCTATAGCTTCCTTCTCACCCTATAAGCCCAGTTTTCCCAGGAGCCACAAGAACAAATAAAAGAAACAGGATTCATTTGCATAAGAAGCCTTGAAAAAGCAAGATGGGCTTTCACCCCTGTGCACACGCAGGGGATCCATCAAGACTTCTGAGATTATGTAAAGAACAAAGGAAAGGGGATTACCAGATGGTTCCCAGGTGTGGAAAACTGGCTTTCTCCAGTGTCCTTAGCCTGTTCACCCTGCCATTCTCTGCTGTTCATTTAGTGGAGGACAGGACACCTTGAGCTGGGGACTGGGGCAGAAGCAGAAGTTAAAAGCAGAGTCGAGGCTGGCAAAATCCTGACAGATCTGGCTTTCAGCCCCACTGCTCCTAAATTTGAATATGTAAAGATAGGCCACGATTCTTGTGAGCAGCCGAGACATTTAAGGGCATTTCAGTGCTACTAGTTGCGAAGCAGCAGTAGTTTTTTCTCGACTGACTTTCTTTGAAGATTTTTTATGCCTGCCCAGCTTGGCTCCTCACCCTGTTACTTCCTGCCATGACATGAGCATCACCCACAGCCAGGCAGATAGCTTCAGCCCCCTCCACCCTTTCTTCCCCAGCTTCCTTCAGGGCTGACCCAGAGGTCTCTGGGTCTAGAGGTGGCCAGAGATGAGCATTCCCAGGGATAATTCATACTGGAATAGCTCAGCACCACTGTCCCTCTGCCAGAGCAATGGAGGCAGAACATGACAGGAATGAATCCAGTTTCAAGTTGAGGGCCTGGCAGCCTTTCCTTCTGAGGGAGCTGGGGTCAGCTAATAGTGACAGTACAGTGGGCTCTGCCATCAACTGCCTGGGTTGAATCCCAACTCCCAACTCTGGCCTAGCTGTGTGACCTTACTGGGGAGTCTGTCTTCTTCCTGGGCGTGAGTTATCTATGTGATGAGGGGTAATATTCAGGGCCTACGTGTGAGGTTGTTGTAAAAATTAAATCAATCTCACAACTTGTGGGATACAGAGCAATTGCTCAGGGAAGGTGGTCTGGATGCCACCTCTGCTCCTCCGCTTATCATGGCTGGGACCTTGCTTGCGCCTGCAGCCCGCTCCTGGGAGGCCATCCTGGAAGGGCATTCTCCTTGACCTCTCCAGGCTCAAGCCGCCTTTCCCGTCCGTTACAGTGATCTGACCCACAACCTTTCTTGTTGCCGCACTGACAACCATACTTGAGAAGCTTAGCTTCCTTTGGTCTCTCCCTGGGGAGGCTTGTCGTACCTGATGCTTTCAGAGAAGTGCTTCCTGGAGTTCCCAGTAGCCTTTGGGCCAAGGATACCTGAGGCTGAGAGCAGTTTATCTACATGAAATGTTGGCATAAATCTGTAAACTTGACAAGTTAGCCTTTTCATGTCCTATTACTTGGCCTAAGGGTTTTGTTTCTGGTGGTTCAGTCTGTTTATATTTTGCTGGTTTATCAGGACCTTCCTCTTAGAGGAAGGAGTAATGTTCAGAAATCAAGTTAGATTCTAGCCCTAATTCTGCTTCAGATTAGCCGTGTCACTGAGCAAGTCATGAAATCACAGGACATAAATAGAAAGTTAGAGAAGGTCTGGTCAGACGCCTTACGTGAAGAGAGGCAGTGAATGAGGTGAGGAAATAAGAAATGAAGAAATTGACACAGAAAGATCAAATACCTTGCTCAAGGTCACCTGCCACACCCCTACAGATGCTTATTTCCTATGTTTTGGTTTTGGAGTCTCTAAAATGGACAGATTAGATAGACCTTAATAATAATTCTATTGATTTCATGTTTGTTTCTGTTTTCCATGTTGTACGTGAATTGTGTCGTCTAACTTTCTACAAGTTCAATAAAGGAAATAAATGTAACCCCTCTCTTTTACACTTAGAAACTTTTTCCAGAGCTTCCTATTACCAGCTGGCTCTGGAGCAGCTGCACAGCCACCCTGAGGCACTGGAAGCTCTGGGCACTCCTCTCAACGTTCACTACCTAAAGCTCACTGACAAGTACAACTTCGTGGACATCGCCGATGCAAAGGTAACCTGCTCCCCCTGCGAACTGTCGGCTGGGTGCCCACTGGGTTGAGGAGGGGCTGCTGTAATCTGGAAAGGGTCTTGGAACAAGCTGGAGAAACAGGTGTGAGATGGGAAAATCCACTATGTAAAACTGCCACTGGGTGTTACTTAGCACCTTTAAAAAAAAAAAAAAAAAAGCATTGTGGATTAATTAACTTTCACATAAGTTTTCTTCCTTTCCGGGGAATTGATGTGGCAAGGAAAAGCCTGTTTGTGCTCAGGTCGCCATCTTGAACTGAAGGTTGTCGAGAAATGATCAGTGGTGGTATGCCAGTATTTCAATTCTGAACTTGAAATATACCTACAGCTAATTGGTGCTCATTCAAATCTAAAAACTCTTTAAAGTCTAGTTTTAAATGTAAAAGCTTCCATGCAATGCTAGTCCATTTTTTCAGCTATATCTCACTTTTATAGTTCAACTGATAAAACTCAACTGAATATAAAAAGCATTTTTTCCCCTTCTGTCTAATATGTTAGAGGAATGATTCTAAGTTGTGTGGGGAATACAGAGAAGACTTTGAGGGAGTTCATAGCTGGGAGAAAGGGCTGTGACATCAACTTGTGAGGTGTGCATTTGATTCTGCGACAAGCAGAAGGCCTGGAGTATTTGGAGGATAAGAGTGAGCTGATCTAACCTAGTTTATTTTTGTTTTTGTTGTTTTATTAACAGAAACAGTTCTATTGGAATTCTCCCCCTAACTACAAAAGCAATTTGTGCTCAAGTATTCTGCTAAAAGTAGTCAGTGGTTTAAAAAAACTTTTGACATCTAGTTGATTTTATATTAGATTAGTACAGTTTGTTGGCATATAACTGTTCATAGTTTTCTCCTATGATTCTGTATCTATACTGAGTTGTGGCTCATCCTCTTTCTTTTTTTTTTCTCTTTCATTTCTTATTTGGGTCCACTCCTATTTTCTTGAGTCTGGCTAGAGGTTTGTTGATTTTATCTTTTCCCATCTCTAGATTACATTTCTTTTCTATTTTTTTTTTAAATCTGTTAATTTCCTCTGATTTTTATTATTTCCTTTCACTGACTTTGGGCTTTGTTCTTTTTCTAACTCCTTTATGGTCCAGATCAGAGTATGGACCAATTTGCTACTAATAGTTACCCTTTTTAAACAAACAGTGGACTTGTTTTTTGTTTTTCTATTATGAAAAGTTTCAAGTATATGGAAACGATGAAAGAATTTATGCTCTGGAGCCCATATAGCTGCTACCTGGATTCTCAGTGTGCTTTATCCCATACCTATTTGCCTACCTCTGTTTGTTCATGAACCTATCTTATTATTTTCAAATATCCATACACTTAACCTTTAAATTCATAAGCTGTATATCATTAACTAGAGTTTATAGTTGTTTTTTTTTTTTGACATAAAATTTACCCTCTGTCATCTATGTCTCCTATCTGATGAATTTTAACAAATGCATCCCCCTATGCAACTCAATCAAGCCCCTACCTAGATATTATAGACTGTTACTATCACCTGAGTGTGGCCTCATGCTCTTCTCACGTTATAGCTATCTCTGAGAGAACAGCGTTGTATCCACTTATGTCTCTTTATACCCCCCAGCTGAAGATCCCTGTCTCTGGACCAAAGTCAGAGGGCCATCTCTATGTCAGCTCATCCAGAGATGCCCCCTTTAAGAGGTATGATGGGAAAGTGGGTGGGGAGCAGGAGGAGAACCTTCTTCTGCAAACAATCTTGATTTCCTTTTTCAACTGCAGTTGTATGAGTGCGGCACCAAGAATTAGTTTCACAGCCAGGACGACATGCATGCCAGTGCTTTTGCTCTTAGCTCAGTCCGGACATTTTATCCAATGCAAACTACTGAATCGTCCTCTCCTCATGTTACTGAATTTGAGGAGCTTTACAGTTGGTGTGGTCTAGGTCTGCCGTGCTGTGTCACAGTTTCCAACACTGCTGCCTCTGTCGTTACAAGTGAATAAAAGCCTGGGTTCCTCTTCCAGAGTTATTCATCACATTCTTTATGTAAGCTCTCCCTCCACCCCCATTAATTGGCTTTTCTTGTCTGGTTGCCAGGAGCTAAGTCACTCACTTCCCCCACGGGAAGCCTCTCTCTGAGATGTTTGCTCTTTAGCCAGGATATGTTTTAATTCCTGGGGACAAAAGGAGCAGGCAGTCCCTGCCTGGCCTCGCTGACCCCTGAGCCTGGGATTAGAGGAGCTGAAGGTCGAGGGGAATTAGGAAACCAGGAATGAGGTGCTCCTTCTCTGATGCCAGCCATTCATTGTGAAACTTGCCTTGATGGCGATTTAAATAAAGATAGCCTGGAATAAAAGGTTAAAACATTGCTAACATAATATAGTTTTAAAAATTTAAGACATTCCAAACAACTGTTTATTTCCTCTTAAACCATGTCTTTTGCCTCAGTGTTTTGTTGATGAGAGACTATACTTTTCGTTTTTCTCAGGTGGAACCTTCAGGAGGTCTTCTTAGAGCTTAAGGACGGTCAGCAGATTCCCCTGTTCAAGCCCAGCAGGGACAACGACGAGGTGAAAAAGGAGTGAAAATGATCAGCTCCCTCTGCTCCTGGCCTCGCTTGTCACCATGTGCTCCCCAGGGCTGCAGGTGCGGCCATATGGTGATCTCTGTGTCATTTTAATTTAACCACAGTGAACCCTACTGAAGTTTTTAGTTTAATCAGAAACTTACTAAAATTTATAATTTGAAAGTTCTCTGTATAGAAGCAAAGTATAGAATTAAAGGAATCAGTATTAATAATGTTGATTTCTCATCTCTCACCAACCCACCCCGCCAAAAAAAAAAGTTTTCAGTGAGGTTTTCTAGCACTGACAAGGTTTTTAATTGTTAACATCAGAATGCCAAGGGAGACAGACAAGCACTTCTATCTGGTTGCTCGATCCTAAATTTATGTTAAGTAGCTTGTTGGTCACTCTCAAGTACTTAGAATTTTTTTTCTTCATTGTTTTATTTTCTTGTTTTAGTCACCAACTGTCTGCCTAATTGAAGATTCACAAAATAACCACTTTAATCCAAACATTTCAAAAGCTTAAAACCACCACATTTTAGAGAATCTTACCTGTAGGTTTTATTAGTCTTGCAGGGGGACAAGATCTTCTGAGCACCAGAGCCTGCAAAACCCAGAAATCTGCCACTTTTGCTTTGGAAAGGCCAATTTAACCCCCTCAGTGTTATTAACCTTAATGAAGTTATAATCAAGGATGTTCATCAGCTCTTTCCCTGCCCTCTTAATATTCATTGAAGGGAAACTTCAAAAAGGTTATGCTGGTAGGGTATGAGGCCTTTCATCATTGTTCTGTAGTTTGTTATTTCTGTTCTACAGTTTGTTTCTTTAAAAAATACTCTTTGACTAGAATATTAAGTGGAGAAGTCTTTCCCTTAGCGCACTTTTTCCAGTGTGTTCGTTGATAAATATTACAATCTGTGGAGTCTTTTTTGCGCTGCTCTATTCTTTTAACAATTATGTGCTGTTCTGTTAACAGCTTTTACTTCCTTTCAGTGTTTGCTGGATTTTTTTCTTGCTGTGGCCAAACCCTAGAAAACCCAAGTGGATCATCTGTTCTGAAGGAAAAGCAAGTAACAATTTTTGTGTAAAATTTGGATTAAGAGGCTTTCCTCTAGTATTACGTAGTGAAAAGGTCCTTCATTTCTATTTGAAAGTCACCATCTTGGGTACTTTTTTCCAGTTAAGCATATTGAGTGTATTTACTTCTTAATGCCTTCATGGCTGATTCTGAACAGGCCAGAATGCAGTCACTGTAGTAGACATTGTCCATTCTTTTCTTGAATTGGTGCAGCCCACTACTTCTTGTGTGTCCAGCAATCACTGTGCCTCAGCCATGGTCTCCCAGGAATGACCTTGAAGAAATCTTGGATAATATACATCATCATCAGAGGCAAAGGTGACTTTTTACCATCTGAGCAAATGCTCCAAGCCACCACTGGAGAAAGGGCTTTACTAGCATTGTAAGAATAATCAACTTATGAAAACAGCAGACAAGCAATCACAGCCCACAAATGGCAGGAGGACTCCCAGTCCTGCATTTACTAAATAAGATGCTGCCTGGTGTCCACTCACAGCAGTTCCAAGCAGTGGTGCGAAAGTAATGTAGTAGGAGAGAGAGACCAGTTAGGAGGAATCCAAGAGGCCAGTTGAGTCACCCCTCCCTCTTGGTGGACTGGTGACTCTATGGGCCTTGAGGTCTAAGATTTCAGATATGATGGAGACTGCCTTATAGACAGAAAGAACATGAAAAAAGGTCTCAGCAGGGAAAGTGTGAGCTATGCTCCAGAAAGATGATCTGCCCTTTGGCCAGTTAGCTGAAGATACAGTAAAAGCAAGCTCTGGACAGGTAAGGTGGCCAGTGTTAGCACTTTACATGCAGCTTATAGCCATCAGATTTTGGAGTAAGTATATGATTCTACTATTAGGCTATGGACTCTGGCGTTTTCAGCTTGTCCATATTAAAGACATGAATAGATATGAATAAATACCTATCGGTTACCAGTCTTACAGGTGAGGCAGTGTTCCTACTGCTTGTTTGGAGGCTTGGCCAAAGGAGCCCTGATGATGGTGGCAGGGTATTAAGGAGGTGGTGAGAGGGTGAGGGAAAACCTCCAGGCTCCACCCACAGGAAGACTCGACTCTTCAGGAACCCGTTCAGTTAAAAGTCCTGTCAGGAATATGTAAAGAGAAGCTGACGTTTTATGATCCAGGGTTCAAAAGTGGGAGATGAAAATGTTAGAAACATGTCTCATACACGGGTATGTATCATAGACCACATGTGGCACATTAAACACCTTTCATTATTAAATAATGATCCTCCAAGGCAGAAGTTATTTTTCTGCCACCACGTAACCATTATACTTTTAAATTTGGCTACCATGTGTCAGTTACCTTGCAGTCTTTAATATGAAGGTAATTTTTTACTTACAAATTTTTTTTATAAAATAAGAAACTATAAAACTATGGGCTTCCCTGATAGCTCAGTTGGTAAAGAATCCATCTCCAATTCAGGACACCCAGGTTTGATTCCTGGGTTGGAAAGCTCCCCTGGAGAAGGGAAAGGCTACCCACTCCAGTATTCTGGCCTGGAGAATTCCATGGACTTGGGTTCGCAAAGAGTTGGACATGACTGAGTGACTTTCACGAAACTATAGGCCAATCTCTGTGACTGTAGCAAAATTCTAAAGAAAATGTTAGCAAACTGAGTCTAGTGACATACAGTAAGTGGTATATTGTATTTCTCACAAAGTATTTTGGTGCCTCCCTCGCAGTGCCCTTCTCTATGGGGAGACTATACTTCCCTGCCAGCCCTCGGTTTACCACGTCTTCTTTTTCTCTCTTCCTTAAAATCAGTAATGTCCCAGATGGCAGCTATTCCCAGGACCTGGGTGCTAGAATATAGATGATCCAAAATGAGACAGGTAGCCTGAATGAGAAGTAAACCCTTCTAAGTCCTTACAACTGGGGACATTTTCACTCCAGCTTAACTGGACTTCCAACAGTGACTGAGAGGTCTATTTCAGAAATGGAAGGGTGGTTTCATATTAGGAGAACCACTAGTATAGTTCATCACATTAATAAAAAGCTAAGAAGGAAAGTATATATACTAATTTTAAAAGATACAAAAAGGCATTTGACTAAAATTAAGTATTCATATTTAAAATTAAGTATTCATAATTCATAAGGGGTGTGTGTGTGTGTATACATTATATTCTCAAAGCCAACATCTTAATTGGGAAACTGGTAGAGGTTTTTTACAAGATAAGGATGCATTATATTGACTATTATTTAACACTGTATTGTATCTAGTACAATTAGATATTTTTTAAAAGGCCTAAAACATGAGAAAGAGTAATGCAGTTACTGTTTACATAGATGATTTTATATATCTGCAAAACCCAAGGCAATCCATGGATCAGTACTGTGTATTTAGTAAATTATAAAACCAATATTCTTCACATAAATAATAATCAAAAGAAATAAGGGAGAGCAGACAGTGTTTAGAATCGCAAAAACTACTTAGGAAAAAAACTTAGCAAGAAATCTGCAAAACTTAGATGTGCTAAAAGACACTCCCTGAGGTCCAAATGCAGAACTGAACAAAAGAAAAGACATGGTGTTCTTGGATGGCAAGATTCCTCACCATAAAGATGTCAGTTCTCCCTGACATCTTTATTAATTAAGTAGCTTGTCTAACTTTTAAAAGTCCCTAATATTTTTATTGGTGACTTTTAAAAGTTAGATAAGCTAATTAATTATAAATTCATTTGGAAGGAAACATAAGCAAAGATGGCCAGGAAATCCCTGCAAAGGAAGAGCAAGGAGGGAAAGTAGTCTCACATCCATTCAAACATATCTGTGAATACTGATGGTGTGCTGGCACATGAAGAGACAATGCAATGGAAACCTGGTTATGATAAAGCAGCTCTAAGGCAGAGACGGGGAGGAAGATGTTTGAAAAATGATGTTGGAACAACCTTATAGCCATACACAGAAAAGATGAAATGGAATCTACTGCTCATACAAATTCTAATTGGAACAAAGATCTAAATATAAAAATGAAACCATCTAGGCACTAGCAAAAAACCATGGGTGAATTCTTTTATAACCCACAAGTGGAGAAACTTACCTAACCATGATTCATTGTAAAATAAGGGAAATTGACTATATAAAAACAAATTGCTGCATGTCTAAAAATACCAAAAGCAAAGCAAAAAGCAAATGATAAATGGGAAAATATTTACAGTTTAAATTACAAAAATTTAATATCTCTGAGCTCTACAGTGAAAGTTGAGAAAACAGTAAACCCATGGGAAAAATAGGCAAAAGATACTACAAATTCGCAGAAAAGAAATTCAGGTGACTCAAACATTTAAAAAAATGGTCAGCCTCACTATTAAAAAGACTACAAATTCAAATTATAGGAAAATACCATTTTTCTTCTAGCAAATGGGCAATGATCCTCAAATCTGAGAAACTTTTCTCAAAAGACTGTGGGTAAACAGGCATATTTAAATTGCTGGTTTGAAGACAAAAATGCAACACCACCTGTAGAAGGACATTTGATGCTATCTACAATAATGTCATGTACACTTACCATTATATGCAGCAGTCCCACTGCACTAAGATTCTATCCCAAAGATATGCCGGCAAAAAAATACAAAATGCCACCTTTGTACAGATTATTTAATGCAACATTGCTTGTAACAGGAAAAAACTGTAAACAACCTGAGTGTAAACCAACTATCCATTAAGAGAGAGTGGGCTAAATCAGTTTGGGGATTTCCTTATAACTGAGGAGTCTGTACTTGTGAAAAGGAATTTTACATAGGCATGTTTATATGTATGTATATATTAGCTTTTACTTTCAAAAAGAAACAATGGAAGAATAAAGTCAGTAGCAGTAGTTACCTTTGGGGAAGTAAACAGCAAGAGGATCTTAGCAGGAAACAGGGATGGAAGCTGTAATTTCCACAACGTACCTTGTCTTACAGTTGAGACTTTGAAACCATGCTATTTTGTTTTTACATAATTAAAAAATAAAACTGCAAAGAAAAAAAAATCTTTAAAATACTTGTGAAATATTTCTTCTCTATATGACTCATTTGTTAAAATATTTTTAGTGACTTTCTGCCTTAATATCCTTAGTAGGATATATTCTCCTGGCAAAAAGAAATCCCAAGAAATTTTAAACTATGACTGGTCTAGTGTTACTGTGTGTGTGTGCGCACACGCTCACACTCATTCACTGGAGACTTCCTCCTTTCCACAAACCTGGCTTTCGTAATCTGAGGTGAATTTACTAATTTTCTCAGACCTAAAATACACTGAACCACTGTCAAGTCTTAAGAAGCAAAACCCCCTAGGAGGGACAAGATAGAGACCTTTTCCCTGTTCTTCCCAATAAGCATAGCTAAAACCCAGGATACTTATCAAAGCAACAGAAACAACCTGAAAAATGAAAAGGCAGCAGACTGGCTAAGGACTTTGGACCCAAACAGTAACACAGCAATGAGTTCCTGTGTTTTCTTTTACCTCATTTTTCCCAGACTAGGTGCTGGTAAAACCAGCAGCCTCAAAACACTGATGGCAGAGATAACTAAAGCCAAGAAAAGCTGGCTTTCTCAAGCCAAAGAAGTTCCACACAGTAATTGCCAGATACCATGGATAAAAACAGGGCCCCAGCCTTCTCCTGTTAGCTGAGGCCGGGTGGAGAGCCTAGACTTTCTTCCTTACTCAGCTCTCTTGAGGCTGCCCCTGGTCCTCTGCAGGGGTGGTGGCAGAGAAGGCTCAGTGCGGAGCTAGGCAGTGGGGAGCTAGGACTCCATCCCTGCCAAGGATATCCTCTCACCATCCCTGTGGCATCAGTGGATGCCACACAGGGAGCCAGCCCACCCTTCTACACCTACCAGCCATTCTCAT